TTCTCCTCTCCGGTTGGGTGAATGTCTGCACCCTTCCATGTTTATGGCTTTTATGTTCTATGTTATGTTGTGTTGTTTCTGCTATAAATAGCAGGATATCAATGAAAGAAAATGGGTTCTGACCTCACCAAAAGAGAAAACTCCAAGTGTCTCTACTTCTCCTCCAAGTCCTCTCTCAATCCCTCCCTTCTTACCCTCAAAAATTCAACAGTTTAAAAATAAAAAATAAAAAGAAAAAACGGTTGGAACGGATGATACTTAGGCCCAATGTGATATGTAGACCAAGCCTTATAAGCCCAATGACAAGGCCCATACAATATCTTTTTTTGGGCCGTGCCCATAGAAGATCTAATCTCAAATTTATTTTATGATTAAAAATAAAATCCCTCGAATGCGTCTTGTCCTCTGACCGCTTGACGTTTGTACTTGTTTTACTATTTTAAGGTAAATTCGAGACTTTAATTAATAATTCAGTCTAACCATCCTTTCTGTTGGAGGTTGATGATGGAAGGGACAAAGGACAAGCTACCTCATGGGATGTTTAGAGTACGTGCCTTCTGCCCAGTAAAGAAGCTCTCCCTTTTCGCGAATAAAATGTTTAGTCTTCTGGTTACATTGGTGGAGTACTAAAAAGTTTAAGGTAAATACTTACTTTGAGCTCTCACTTTATTAAATTTGAAAATATTAATTTTTTATTTTGAGATTTTTAACTTTTTATCTTATTAAATTTATAAATTTTAATCCCTTATTTATTAAAAGTAAAGAAAATAATCTTCACTTTATACTGATTATTAACTCTATTAGCTGAAAGTAAATTTTTATCAATTAACTGTCAATTAATAATCAATTAACAAAATTAACGAAATATTATAAAATTAATTCTGTTAACTTTATTAGCTAAAAGAAGGTTTTTATCAGCTAATAATCAACTAACATTCAATTAATAGAGTTAACAATTAACTAATATAACTAATAAAATGTTACAAAATGAGAACTATTTTCTTCAATTTTAATAGGTGAGGGGTTAAAAGTGTTATAGTATAAGGTGATGGGTTAAAATCTACAAATGTAGTAAAATGAAGGGTTAACAGTGTCATAATATAAGATGAGGGACTAAAACCTTCAAACATGATAAGGTGAAAGGCTAAAAGCGAGCTTTTGCCAAAATTTAAAGTGTTTACCTCTTTATTGACTTTTTTAAAAAAAGAAGCAACAAGAGTATTTGTTTTGATGTCTAGAAAATAATGTCTTGAAAATAATTACTCTCTATATTTATTTTTAATAATTTTAATTTAATTTTTTAATATTTTAAAAATAAATTTTATATAAAAATTTAATAATTTATATAAAAAATAATTAAAATAATTTTTCATATGAAATTCTTGACAAATATTTTTATTTAATTAAAAATTTTTAATTATTATTTATATAATATATTAAATTCTTATTTAAAATTTATGTAAAAAATTAAAAAAATAAATTAAAACTACTAAAAATAAACAAAAAGAATATTAATTGTTGAATTTAGAAGGTCATAAAGTTTATAAAGTAACTTGCTTTAAAATAAATCTTTCACTCATAAATTTAAATATATGTTTAAAAAATTTTTAAATTTAAAGTATTTTTTAAATAAGTTTAGAGAAAATATCTAAATTTTCTTAAAATTTACTTAAAAATTATTTTTAAAGCTAATTTTTAAATTTTTCTTCAACAAACTTTCAAATATAAAGAAATATTTGCTTTCAACAAATGCTTTTTATACTTTACCAAACACCCTTCCCATTGAACGGATTAAATATTATAGAATATAAACAATACTCCCTCTAAATGAATTTAATTACCTAAGTTTGACTTTTATATAAAGTTTAATAAAACAATTTTATATAATAAATAAATTACAATTAAATTTTTTTTATCTAAATACTCAACAAGAACTACATATAAACAAGAAAACAAAATTCAATTGTTATCAATTTACTATATAAAATCATGTAGTCATACCTTAAGCAAAAGTTATGTTAAATGCTAAATTTGGTCCCTCAACTTTATAGAGTTGCATTTTTTTGGTCCCTCAACAATTTTGTTGCATATTTTTGATCCCTCAACTCTAAGAAATGCATAACGTTTGTCCTTCTGCCAATTTGAGCTGTTAATTCCGTCCACGTGGCATTTTTTATTTTATTTTTTGACATGGAGAAGACGACGACTTTTTTCTGATGACATGTCATCTTCCCGCACCAAAGCCCCTCCAATGCCCCTCCAATGAGTCCCACATTGCCTGCAAAAACCACTGATAAAGAATGACATCTTCTAGGTTTCTCTTTCAGCAGTAAAAACAATCTAAAAACTTACAAAACAAAGATTTTCTTCAAACCTAAACCCAGATTTTCTTTGAGATTGCAGAGATTTTCTCAAAGAATTATCATATTTTCCTTGTTCGATCTCCTTTAAAGTTCACTCAGAACCCTACATTTGTTGGGATTCTAAAGATTTTTCACAGATTTCACTAATTAATCATCATTAAACTATAATTAATTATGTTAATTAAAATTAAAATTCTAAATTAATTTATAATTAAATCACAATTTCCTCGTCAAATTTTCTTAACAAAATAGATTGAAACCATTTTTTCAACAGCCAAACACCCAAACTGCACAATTTTCTAGCCAAACAAATGGAAACCTGCTAAAAATTTCTTCTTTGCCCATCGGTCATTGCTTTTGTGCTTTCCATCGCCGATAATGTTCTTTCCATTTTGAACATTAAAATCATATAGACAATAGTTAGGAAATATGAAGCAAAGGAATCCCAAAAATTCCTCACAACCTGCAATTTGCATAAACTCTTCGCAACAAATATATAACAAAAAAAAAAAAAAAAGTGGAGTTGTGTTCAGTGAAACCCAATTGCTGGGTTCCTCAAACCCAGCAAATCTGGGTTTTGGGTTCGACGGATTCGATGGAACCCAATGGATGGGTTCCATCAAACCTGAGCTGGGTTCCCTTGAACCAAGATTAGTTGGGTTTGAGGGAACCCAACAACACAGAGGAGGAAGAGGAAAAAGAGGAAGACAGAAAAAGAAGAAAGAAAGGAACGATGGATCAAGAAAGGGAGATAGGGGTATTAAGGTAAATTTGTAGTTTTTTATTTTTTATTAAAAATATAAATATTAATCTAATTTGGTATATGTGGAACATGTTATAAAAAAAAGTCCAGATTATCACATTTTTAGGTTGTTTTCACCATATCATAAAAAAAAAAAAAAAAACCACGTGGCGGAGTTAACGGCCCAAATTAATGGAAGGACAAACGTTGTGCATTTTTTAGAGTTGAGCTATAAAAAATGTGCAAAAAATTGTTGAAGGACCAAAAAAGTGTGACTCTATAAAATTAAGAGACCAAATTTAGCATTTAACTTAAAAGTTAGCTCTTAGGGTTTAGGGATAACTTTTACATAACTTTTACATCATAAAAATTTGGTAATGGGCAAAAGTGTGTTTGGTTTAGAAGTGAAAGAAAAAAAAAAAATGAAAGGTTAAAAAAAACCCTGCTGTCATGCTATTTAGTTTATTGTATGTGGACTAATCATCCTTCCAATGACCATTGCTTGTCTGCATCACTGCACAACTAGACATTTAACAATCATTTGAACAAAAAGGCCACACACCGGGAAACAGCAGGGCAATCATCCGAACTACTTTGCAATGCGGGTAAAGTAACAAAACAAAGGAAAAATGACAATTACAATTTACAAGCATTAGGGGGAAAAAAAGCGGTAACAGACAAATATATTGGTTAGCTTCTTAGAAACTTTTCAGCCATTGTACCCATCTGAAAGTGAGGCATGTCGTCTCAATAAAGAGGGCACCAATTGGTATCAACATGCGATAGACAACCTGCATACCTCATTACAAGGATGCCACAGTCAATCCCACTGCCATGTCAAATTAGAGAGATTTACACCACAACTATTCCATAAGATCATAACAGTTACCAACATATGGAAATGGAAAACAGTCAGTGGCATGTAATTAACATTAAGCAGTTAAGGGACTCACTTTGCTTTCTTTGAAATGTATTTTGGAGGATCGAGGGGCTAATCGCTAGTATTGTTCAGGCCCAGTGCAGGCAATAAAGTCCCCTTTAAACCATTCTGGATTTCTTTCAAAATTACTAAACATTTCTGAATTTTTTTTCATGAATCTAACTATAACAATTTCTGATTATTGATGTCAGCATAGAAAGAAGTCCAATGGTCTGACAAACTCAATGGTAGAAACAACTACAATGGCAAGAATATTAGCAGATGATTCAGTATAGAAATGAGTCCTATGGTTGGACAAACACAAAGATAGAAACAAACTACAATGGCAAGAATATTAGCAAATCCGAAAGAACTATATATGGTTGTATTTATTAATGAGATTAAGACAATGTATCTAAAAGGCTACCAAACAGAAAGATACCTTGTGTGTATCAGTTTGATAAATTTAAGTGAACTCGATATGTTGGTCATGCACTAATATAACTTTCCAAGACTTATGCATGCAAAGTATCAAATGCTAGCATAATGCAGTTTGGTCCTTTCTACTTTTAACAGTTAAAGACAACAACTTATTTTAGCATGCAATTTAAGACAAAATTTATGCTTCTAATTCAATTAAGGACAGGGTTATGACATCAAAACTCCTGTTATACCAAATTGAAAGTTTCAATTTACATTTATTTATCAATAGGGAACCGAATTAGAAATAGCATCAACATCTAACGTTTGGGACTGTTTATTACTATTGCATAACGGCCTCATCAATATATAACCTCTATTTTCATCTTCTAGTATGCTTGATAAACACTTTTTAAAGATATATCTGCACGCATACAATTTTTATACATGTATCATAATAAGATAGGAAATTCTAGAAGGCCAACAACTTTCTCTATCATGAACCGTCTAATCATTTGAGAAGGAATTGTAAATTGCTAAAAGACTTGATTTTTCATTGATATTCCAATCCAAAACCATTCTTAAAATTTTCAGTTAATGGTTATGCACTGAAATCATCCTCTAATCTTTCAAAACTAAGAATCTTTTTCAATTCCCTATAACCATCAATAAATTGCATTGTCAAGCAACAATTCATGACCTCTTCATCCTTCCACAAATTAATTGTTAAATTAAAGCAACAAGAAGTATGCTTATCCAAATATCTACTGAGTTTATATTTCTCATCATCATAGAGATGAAGTATGCTATACATTAAATCTTTTTCAAATTGAAGCTTAAACTCCAGTTGCAACGTTTTGAGAGCATTCTTGAAAATTTCATCCCGAGTTATGCTAAATGGAAGGTTGTGATGAATCATCAACCTCGTTTTTTTAAATTCAAATTTGAAGATTTCATTATTGATGTACATTTTTCATTATTACACTAACATAACTTAGTGCTTGTTCAAGTGTGTAATACCTTTTTTACTTGAACTATTCTCATTATCTTACAAACTTTTCATCTGCCTTTCTACAACTTTTTAATAATAATAATGTCGTTGTGCTATTCCTATTTTGGTCCCTACAAATAAATAACGTCTAAATTGAAATCTTCAATTTCTAAACTATATAATCTGGATTTTGACCATACCCGAAAACATAGTTTCCTAGTTTAAGTATCATACCCTTGCGTTCTATATATGCTTCATGCGAAAATCTTTTGTTTTCTTAAGGCTAACATCAGTTTTTAGAACCTGCTTTAGATTTCTTGAGCTACTAGCAAAGGTTGTATGTATATGAGAAAAGGCAATGCACATTATTTTGCCAAAAACTTGAAAATTTGCGTGAAACAAGCAACAAACAAGTTCATGTTCTGAAAAATCCAACCCAACACATAATGAATGAATAAGAGCTTCGAAGCGAAATACAAAATGACGGTCGAACTCAGCAGCTAGGACTTTCCATTTCCAAGATGAAATCCGCCTCTTCTCCTTGACAACTATGCCAGTCAGAGTCTGATTTTTCTGGACTTTTCTTGAGCTCCTCCGATGCAAAGCATCCCTATAGCTGCCCTTCTCCCTTCTCGCCTCTTTCTGTTTCCTTCTTCCCTCTTGATTCTCTCCAGTTTCTCAACTCTCCCGTGTGTCTCCCAGTGGCTTGAATCAGTGGAGAGAACCCCGGTGCCAGGTATTTATCGGGCGGCTCGAGAGAGAGCTTCCCCCTGGCGTCTTTCTTGGTTTTCCACCAAGTGGCAGCTAGTTTTTCTTTCCTTGTGCTCATCAGCGTCTAGGGTTTTTATAAGGTAGAGGATAGCTGTTTGGTTGAAGAAGTGGATCGGTGAAGAAGAGGGGAACGATGAAGGGAGGCGGCGACAGAGCTACAAAGAGGCTAGACCCCGTTTGAGGATTTCTAATGAAAAACCGGGGATGGGACGGATTTTAGGCAGAAACTGGTTGGTGGGGTTTCCGGTTAGAAGGAGATGGGTTTGAGTTTAAGGATTTGTTTGGGTCATAGAAGTCTTATGGTATGGGGTTTGGTTTTTGTACCCTAGGCATTATATTTGGATCAAATTTTACTTGTTATGCAAATGGGCTTTGTCTTTGGTTAAGTTTGGGTCTTTTGCAATTTATCCTCCTTTATCCACGTTGTGCGATTAGGTCTTCTGAATTGGGGATTTCAATTTTGAGCAGTGCTAGGAGCACTTGCTCTCGCACTCTCCAACCAACACCTGCCCGTTTGTTTTGCCACGTTACCCCTTATTTTAAGAGAATGGATAGGCAACCGGCTGTGGAATGCTTGACCGAATATCAAACGTACACAAAATATGATTGAAATTTCTTTCTTCCACTCCTTTCTTTTTTCCAGCAATTCTTCTACTACCCATTCAACAAGAGGAACCGGAAATTCATCGTTATGCTTTTTTCAGGAAATACGTTTGTGGATTCTTCATAGAGGCTTTCATGGGTTTTAAGGGATTCGAGAGTTGCCCTCCCTCTTTTCTTTACCATCATGGTCAAACCTGGGTTTTTTAGTTCCGGTGATTCCCAACCTTCCTCCGATGTTTTATGTTTTATCAGCATCGTTCATTATACACGATTCAAATTTAGAGTCGTTTCATGTATTTTCGACATGATTGTCAGTCATGGCTTCCTTTCCTAGCATCATCTTTTATGAATCTTCCCTCAATCATAGATTTGGCAAGATTTCCAACCTCTTCAACATAAATCCCAACATATTTAAAGGTTTTAATCATCTCTAACTTCAATCCAACATCAGATTTGGCCATCGACCATCGACCTCTTTTTTCTCCTTTTCCAACTTCAGATCTGGTCACCAGCCATCCAACAAACTTATTCGAGGTTAAAAATTTCTTCTCCGACTTTCTCTTTCTTACTTTCCTTTCTCACCGTTTTGAAATATGGGTGTAGGATAAATCCAATTAACGGTTGTCAGGAGGTGTTGCAGACTTGCAGGTGAGAATGGAAAGAGAGGAGAACAAAATGTGAACTGAGAGAGAGAAAGAAAGTGTTAGATGAGGAAGAAGTAACGCGGAAAAAGGAACGAGGAAATAAAGAGCTAGAAATTCCTTATTTAATCCACCCAAATCGAAGTTGTCACCTTTTTAAGTGCGTATTTCTTTTTTAACTTTTAGGTGATTTTGGACAGCAAATTTTATGATGATTTAGCTACTTAAATTTGAGGTTTTAATAAGTGCTTAATCGATAATTTTCAAGAGTATCTAAAAGTATTTACTTTAATCGAACTTCTTACAAAAGTCGTATTTAAATGAGGAGTTCAACGTAATGAAAAAATAATAATAATGAATTTTAACTTTTTGTTAAAAGAAAAAAATGTGCTTCTTTTAGGAGTGAAGAAAAAGAAAATCTTATGCACGGCTTACCAATTAATAACCCCTCCAATAAGCATTCTTCGTTTGCAGCATTGCATGAAATAGACATTTAACAACATATATAATCATTTGAACAAAAAGCTATATGTACGTACACCACTTTGATGGGCAGGACAATCATCCCATCTGCTTTGCTATGCAGGTTAGTATCAAAACAAAGGAAAAAGACAATTACCAGCATTAGAAGAGGAAAAAAAAATGATCATTAATTAGAAAATAATCTCATCTACTTTGCTCTGCAGTTCAATATCAAAACAAAGGAAAAAGACCATTACAAGCATTAGAAGAGAAAAAAATGATCATTTGATTAGAAAATCATCCCATCTGCTTTACCCTGCAAGGTGGTATCAAAACTGGGGAGAAAGAAAATTACAAGCATTAGAAGAGAAAAAAAAAAAGATCATTAATTACAAATAAAGGGAAACATACTAAAACACCATAAACTTTTTACAAACCCTTTAAGAACGTGTATTCTTCGATTGTGTAAATTAAGAAATATACGCTTCCGAAAGTGAGGCATGTCCTTTTGAGAAAAGGGGAAACCAATGCAATTGGCATGTGTAAAGCAATCCGCATACTTCATTACAAAAATGCCACAATCAATCCCACTGCCATGTCAAAATTAAATAGAAATTAACACTACAATTACCACATAGGATCATAACAATACTAATCCATGTAATAAAAACCAACCAGTGGCATATAATAAAAATTAATTAATTAGAAAGGTGGCTCACTTTTGTTGCTTTGGAATATCTGTTGGAACCTCCAGAGGCCAATTTGTAGCATTGTTTAGGCCCATGGCAGGCAATATAGTATTTTCAAACCAGCTCCTAATTTGTTTTAAAGTAACACTGGCCACTTCTGTAGTATCTCTAAGTGAATTCAACCATACAAATTTGTGATACTTGATGTCGACATAAAAAAGAGTCCAATGGTTTGACAAACACAATGGTAGAAACAACTGCAATGACAAAAATATTAACAAATTATATATATGTAGTTATATTGATTGATAAGCTTATAGAGCAATACAAATAAAGAGCTAGCTAGAAAACTCAAATAATTGATACCTTGCATATATTGGTTTGTTTCTCAATCCCACTTGGTACAATAGACTCGCCTCTATTAAGCAAAACACCCTTTTTTAAAAATAAAAAAATAAAAAAATAATATGAATTAATACATCATATTTCTATGTAGTTTTTTTAATATGTTATAAATTGATACCTTTATAAGTTGATTATTGAATTAATTGAAACTTAAAAGTGAATGATATTTACCACCATTAAAGGATCCACGTAATTGTGCTTCAAGAACATGCCTTCATTTCTTTGATCAAATTTCAGACTTCAGTCAGTGTGATGTGATGCAGCCTCCTTTCTCCCTGCGTTTGATATGTTAGCATGTGATAAATAACATTATTGGTTCATTGAAAATTTTCAAATAAGCCACACCCTCTCCCATGCCACTTCTTCTGAAGGTAAGTCATTATTGATTATAATTGACATTCATACCATTTTGCTTCGGTTTGGGAATTTCTGCTTGGTTGTTATGCGTTGGGAAGCACTGCAGAGTACTGAAAGCATTTGAGAGCATTCCGTAGGGGCTTAAGTATTGGAAAAGGAGCTTAACTTTTACTAAATTTTCAATTGAGGTCCTCAACGTTTATTGTGCTCAATCAAGGTCTCGAACTCATGCAAACTCTCAAATAAGGACCCAATTGGATGGAATCCTAACCATCCATTAAGTCTCACATGACATTCGTTGTAGTTCGTTACACCCCTCAATATGCGGCATGCCAACTGAACCCATAATGCTAACAGTAAAAAAGTTGTTTGATTTCACCTCCAAATCGTGGAGTGGGAAGGAAGAGGAGAGATGGAAGAAAAAGGAGTCATGTGGGATCATAACATGCCACGTCAAAGAATGCTTTTTATTGTCAACATTATGGGTCCAGTTGGCATGCCACATATTGAGGGGTGTAACGGACTACAACGGATGTCATGTGAGATTAACAGATGGTTAGGATTCCATCCAATTGGCTCCTTATTTGAGAGTTAACATGAGTTCAAGACCTTGATTGAGAGGCATTTACTAGTTGTTTCTTCACAATCTTCTAAAAGCTGTTTTGTTCCTTCAGGGGACCTATACTAACTATATATGTGAGAAACATAATGGTTTAAGGACTCTGCATGTCAAAAAATCATAATGATGGCGTTGACAACAATATGATTCATGGTGAATGATAAATTTAGTCATGACCTGTACCATGAATTGTAGTCCTGTGCATGTTATGTGACATGAATAATGTAATTAAGGGAGGAAACGAATAACGGTAACCAATGAAGAAAGCTAACAAGGATGACAATTTCACAGCTGATACCTGTTGCATTAGAAAAAACTGATCCTTTTTTGCTTAAAATGATCAACATTATTCGAAAGATTATTTTTTGGATCAGAAATTTTTGCTAGATAAGAAAATAATCGTATCTAATACCGGAACTTGTCTTCTGGTGAAAAGTACTGAGATATGCAGTTCGACTGGCAACCTGAAGTGTTAACACACTTTATAGGGGTATAACTGCTTACCTAATGTGTTCGACTTTCACCATCTTATTTTTTAATGGTCAATTTTGAGCGGTTGATGAGCATACATTCATAAAATTATATTGTTTTTATTTAGATGAGAGAACATTGATTTATGCATTTCTGATAAAGTTAAAATGTTTACCTAAAAGTGTAGTTGATTTATTTAGATGAGAAATGGTATGAGATCACAAGTACAGATTGTAAAACCCTTTTCACATTTTTCTGATCTTATTATATGTACTCTTTCTTTGCCCCCACCAACCTTCTTTCCTTTTTTTTTTTTTTGGAAATTTTCGTTGATAAAATCATCCAAATGCAGATGATATGGGCTGCTGACTTTGATGAATCCTTGGCTTACAATTTAGTGGAGAACCGTCTGGAGGGATTAATAATAGAACTCTGGATCAGAAATGGAGGAAGGCACAGAATATGGAAATGGTAGTTTACAGGGTACCTTACAGTCAAACCAAGGAACTGAGGGGCATTCGATAGCAGATAATGATGGAATAAAATCAGCATCCCCTTATCACTTTTGTGGCTTGACAAAGAGATTTTGGTCTAAAAATGAACACCTACAAACATGCACTATTATCTTTTGGAATGTCTAAGAAATAGCTTTTAAATTGAATCATTATTCTTTAAATTTACTTTCGTTTATGATCAATCATAGTTATGTTTTAAAGGATCACCACTATTTGCATTTTATATGTTATTTTTTTATTACTATTAATATTTTTTATAATTTAAAATCTGTAAAAAAAACTTAAATTACCAATAAAGAAATAATGAGTTTAATAATTAATATTTAAATTTTTTATGAGTGTGTTGACTATTAGTAACATTTATTGAGGTGTTCATAAAAACATGTAAGTACAAATAGGGGTTTGGCTATTTTAAATCAATAAAGGCTTTAAGAAAAAACAAGTACATAACTACACTTGACCATTGAACAAGAGATTAATTGTTTTATAAAGATCATTGGAACTAATCAGAAGTTAAAACCTGTACTTACTTCATTTAGCAGAATCTAACCAATCATGGCTGGATATCCTTGAGTCTGCAATCTCTGGATTTTGGTCACTGGAGGTTGGGTTCATCCTCCTAATTTCCGAGCTAAATGTAAAACTTGACATGGCAAAGCAATACATCCGAGCCATCCTCCTAAAATTGACAAGATTTCTTATCAAGATCTACTTTTAGCGCAGAAATTACGTGTATTGCTTGGATTGCGAAAGCCTTGGAGAATGTTGTCTCAATCCAACCATGCCAATATCTGATCGTTAATGCCAACATAAAAAGGAATCCAATGAATCAAATGCATAAATGCCAAATCTAAAATAAATTCTAAGAGGATCATGATTTCAGGTAGAAATCGAAAAT